CAGGTGGAGGAATGGATCCAGGAGGATATGTCAAGGTCAAATGTATTGCTTGTGGGCGTCGCAGTGAGAGGTACTTTCTGAACAGTGCTTAAATACATGTAAATAAATTCTTAATTTTATTGGGTTGCTCCCTCTAAATTATGATTAAGATTTAAAATGGTTTATAAATTCAAATTTGTAGCAAATGACTTCCATATTTTAATTATTGGGCTTTAGTCATAGCCAGTAGTACTTAGTTCTGAAATCAGTTAAAGAAGATTTAGGATTATTTTTTGCCTCAATATTCTGGGTTAGGAAATATAGTTCTGAAATCAGTTAAAGAATATTTAGGAGTTTTTTGGCCTCAATATTCTGGGTTAAGGGAAATAATTAACTGTTAATTATCTGTGACTTCTGCCACAGTTTCTACACTTTTCTAATGAGTACTTATATTTCTCCCTTAATACTGTGAGCTTATCACGCTTTTGTAGAGTGAATATTTCTGGAATGAGCATTTATGGCATCTTCATGTACCTAGTGTGAATTATTTTGCTTTTAGCAGAATGCTCAAACCAGGACTATTGCATGATGACCTTTCATGTATAAGCTTATGAAATGCTCTTTTTCCTTTTGATGCTACTAAGAATAGCTGCTATTGTTATTAGCTACACATGAATTGGAAAGGTCTTATCAAGCTTTATGTATGTTGCTGCTTACTACTAATTTCTATTGTACTGATTGGACTCTGATATTGTTTTTTCTAGTACGGTGGTTAAAGGAGTGGTATGTAAGAAAAATGTGGCTCATCGGCGAATGACATCAAGGGTAGATAAACCACGTTTTCTAATCATTGGGGGAGCTTTGGAGTATCAGCGTGTCTCTAACCTCTTGTCAAGTTTTGACACTTTGTTGCAGCAGGTTTATTTTTCTCAGTTTCCTTTGTCTTTTTATTTGAATTTGTAATCAAAAGTCGCATGCTGAAGGTTGTGATGTGTAATCAGGCCCAAGAAATGTCATTGAATATATGTCACCTCCAAGCATTTAGACCTATTACCTTTCTTTTTAAGCCTTATGCTATTTTTCCAGGAAATGGATCATTTGAAGATGGCAGTTGCCAAAATTGACGCCCACCACCCCAACATTCTGCTTGTGGAAAAATCGGTATCACGATATGCTCAAGAATACCTTCTTGCAAAAGACATATCACTTGTCTTGAACATTAAAAGGCCTCTTCTTGAGCGTATAGCCCGTTGCACTGGTGCGCAAATAGTTCCTTCAATTGATCATCTCACATCACCAAAACTGGGGTATTGTGATCTGTTTCATGTGGAGAAATTTGTTGAACAGCATGGCAGTGCAGGGCAGGGTGGGAAGAAATTGGCAAAGACTTTAATGTTCTTCGAGGGTTGCCCAAAGCCATTGGGTTGTACTGTAAGTCTCGCACCATATATACACATTTTCTTGTACATAGTGATAGTTATAGGTCTATCCTGTTATTCTTCAAGAAGTTGCAAGTCATCTCCATTGACCGCATCAAGTAGGGAAATATATTGGTCTACATACGTTTTGGTATAGAGTCGTAGTTAACATAATGTCTGTTTGCACTTAGATTAAAATTAACCGTAACTTTTGTGGGAACCTAATCATAAACTCAGTGCCTAAGAAAATTGAAGAGGTTACTGTAATGGAAACTAGGGGAGGAGTTTAGAAACCATATTTGTCATGAACAAATCAATTTTAAATCAGTACTCTTGTACCCGAATGTGCTCAGAGTTTTCTTAATCATGCTTGCACTTTTATATAGCTGGTTTACTTTTATAGAACTGTAGCAATTCCTTTTAACTTTGAGGCTGTAACTTGCAATATAAAAATAAATTGATAAGAAGCAGGATTAAAAACAAATTGAGATGTATCTGTTGGTTTACTTCGTTTCAGATTTTGCTCAAGGGAGCCAATGGGGATGAGTTGAAGAAGGTAAAACATGTGCTGCAATATGGAATTTTCGCAGCTTATCACTTGGCTCTCGAGACATCTTTTCTGGCTGATGAAGGTGCCTCACTTCCAGAACTTCCATTGAAGTCCCCAATAACTGTAGCACTACCTGATAAACCATCTAGTATTGAGAGGTCCATCTCCACTATACCTGGTTTCACTGTGCCCACCACAGGAAACCCTTTAGGCTCTCAGTCTGTCAATGAACCGCAGAAATTGAGTAAGGAGCTTATCTCTGAGAGATCACTACCTACTTATGTTGATTCTATTCAAAAAATGGGAGAGGCAAGTTCAACCTGTCCATCTAAAGGTCCTTACTTCCAGAATATGTGCATGGAGTCTCTCAAACAGTCAATGGAACCCACTGCTCCTTTCATTTCTCTGTCTCATTCGGGCAACATTTTATGCAGACCTCTGGAAAATCAGGCCTCTTTCAAGGATGATCAAGTAACTCCTAAAGAATTCAATCAGGTCACAGTGGCTAACACTAGAGAAGCTTTGATGCATAATCATTGTTTTACAACTTCAGAGGCATCAGGGAATGGAATTTGTAGTTACCCTGCCAGAAATAATGTATTGAATGCAGATAATTTAGATAAATTGGACTTGGCATCCATGAAACAAGAAAAAAATAGCAAACAAGAGGAGATAGGATCTTCAAAGGAAGAGTTTCCTCCCTCACCTTCAGATCATCAAAGCATTTTGGTGTCCCTATCAACCCGTTGCGTGTGGAAAGGAACTGTCTGTGAACGGGCTCATCTATTTCGAATTAAATACTATGGGAGCTTTGATAAGCCTTTAGGACGATTTTTACGAGATCATCTATTTGATCAGGTTTTTGTTTTATTTTGTTTTCTTTTTCCTCTTTTGAGTTTCATAATTCTGCTCCAGCTTTTACCTTCCAACGAAATATGGTCGTCTAGGACTGTAATTGAGGTTCACCTTTTTTTATCTCAGAGTTATCGCTGTCGTTCTTGTGAGATGCCATCAGAAGCCCATGTTCATTGTTATACCCATAGGCAGGGCAGCCTTACAATATCAGTCAAGAAGCTCCTTGATTCTTGTTACCAGGGGAGCGTGAAGGAAAAATTTGGATGTGGCATAGTTGCCTGCGGTGTCTCGAATCAATGGGTTTCCTCCAGC